AGCTTTTTGATATCTTGTGAGGATTAATATCCTTGATCATTGAATCTCCAATTAGTAGGATGTTTCGCTTGGATTTTGTGCCTTTATGAGTTGTGTTAGTGTTCTCATTCCGATGACCAGTTTCCAAGGTTTTGTCTAAAGATACTTTGCTCACAGAATCATTGGCATCGTCTTCTTGATCACTGATGCTGAGGACTTCGTACCGATTCTTTGACTCAAAAACGCTTTCAGATGTATCTTTACTAGAGCTCTTTACTTTGGTATAATCCCGTTTCTGTGTTTTGCTTCCATCATTGAGGTCTTCTTGTAGGGATCTTGCAGCTGCTCTTAAACTATCGTTCTCAGTTTCCAGTTCTTTAATTCTCTCCCTCTCCGCCGGTAGAACTTTTTCACGTTGGACCAGCTTCAGTGAGGTCATCAGACTCGATTTCTCTTCCTGGAGGTCCAGAACTTTAGCTCTAGCTTCGGACAGAGATTGGAACAAGTTCCTATTTTTCTCTTTTAGCTCGTTATTTTCCCGGTTAAGTTGCAGTTTTTCCTTCCTTAACTCGTTAACAACGTCCTCTAAGACCAGGATAGCATATGCTTTGTTCTCTTTAGTTTCTTTAATTGTTGAAATTTCATCATCAGCAAGAGCCTCTAGTTTTTGAGTAACACTCTGGGTATATTTCTCTAGCTTAGATTCAATTTCGTAAACTTCTTTTGGGTTTTTGTTGAAGTTTGTACTATTTAAATTACTTGTGTAGTTTTGATCATTTAGCTGTATCTTATCAGTGTTCAGGTTACAGTCTCGTGAGTTTGTATGCAAATTACTGTCTGTTGACTCCGAGATGAAATGCAAATTCCCGATCTTTGAGCTTTGATGTTTTGCAATGGCTTCGCCGCCTGTTTGTGATTCGAGTAATTCGCAATCGCTTTCCACAGTCTCTCTCGTTTCGGTCAAGGGTTCACCGTCCGCTATGTGTTCAGATGCTGCCTTATTAGTTAGATATATGTCTTTGACTAGGTCTTTGATTTTCAGAGAGGCTTCGCCTTCGAACGACAATACTGACGATTTCTTCGAGTATTTTATTGTTATTTCATCGCTGCTAAAGAGCTTAGTTGATCCACCAGGTGATGTCCAGTTGCCTCCTAAACCCAAGCGTAGCTCGGTAAAAGCTTTCAGATCTTCGAAGGAGCCATTCCATTTGATTTATGATCCCTCGACTACGAGTTGATTGTTGATAGTAGGTTGAGTCGAAGATTCGCTTTGATTTATACACGCTATGGTGTAGGCAAATTAAAACCGTAATATGTACTAAGCCAATTGTAGTTAGAAATTTTTTAACAGCAGCAATTACTTGGCGAATTCACGACTACGATGACGACAATATCGCTTGTCATTTTACGAGCAAACACTCGTGGAGGGAAAGTGAGTTCCGTGTAACCATCGGGGAATCGAGCCCCGGTCTCCCGCGTGGCAGGCGAGAATTCTACCACTGAACCACCAGCGCAACGCCACATCCTAGCCACTAGACCACATGGAAACTTCCTAAGCCTTACGTAACAATGTCGTTTTATTTCGAAATTACCCGTTTCTTCTGATGATTTTGGTACGACACAGCAAGCCCGAAAAAGAAACCACAGGATGGGTGTTTTTGATTAGGACAATGCATCCGAGGGGAATTTCATGCGCTAGCGGGGAATCGAACCCCGGTCTCCCGCGTGGCAGGCGAGAATTCTACCACTGAACCACCAGCGCAACGCCACATATTGTAGTCAATTTCGGCAATAACCTTACTCCGGATCCGCTGTATGAAACATATTTTGAATCAACGTATTTTGTTTTAAAGGAGTTCATTTTGCGATATGCATGTTCAAGAAAATGTTGGCATTACACCTATAAATTAGGTGCCATGCTACACGAATCAAACTTAAAAAAATTCAATTTTTAATTTAGTAAAGAGTGATCTATATTTTAAAAATTGTTGTAAGAGCTGTAAGAAAAGGCAGCAATTGGGGGATTAGCTCAAATGGTAGAGCGCGCGTTTAGCATGCGCGAGGTAGCGAGATCGACGGCCGCATCCTCCAAAATTTTACGCTTTGGATCTCAAATCATTCTTCAGAAAACCGTTGCTTTGCGTTAAAAGTTTTTCGTAATATTTTTAAAAATAATATTTATACTTAAGTTTTTAATAATTATCAAAATTTTAATTAATAGAATTAACTATTGTACGACAAAATTAATATTGATTGATCAATAAAGAAGCTAGCCGTTATCAGCCTTCGATAGCTCAGTTGGTAGAGCGGGGGACTGTAGATAAGTAAACAAACATCCCTAGGTCACTGGTTCAAATCCGGTTCGAAGGACAGTTGCATGGAAAAGGTTTTGAAAAATATTTTGCTTCCCTATGTCAAATTGATATACTGGAAATGGACTAGAAATTTACTAAATATATGTATGCATATTTATCATAACCTTACATTTTGAAATTGCCCAGTATGCTCCGTTGTTGTGTGCAGCTAGGGAACGAGGTGGATGATCGAAAACGTCTCAAGAATATGAATACACGTTTTAAGCTGTATGCCGAAATAGCTCAGGTGGGAGAGCGTCAGACTGAAGATTTGAAGGTCCCTGGTTCAATGCCGGGTTTCGGCAGGAATTAATTTGAAAAATTTTGCCGGTTAGCTTGGTATGTCTGCAAAATATTGAAAATAATGCTTTCATTTTGCGGTTTTCGCAAACAGTTTGTTTGGATAATCAAATGTAAAAAACCCAAAAAAGTAATGTGTCATGGTAAACAATGGATTTCAATTCGTTACGGCGGCTGTTGGGGATTAGCTCAAATGGAAGAGCGCGCGCTTTCATGCGTGAGGTACGGGTATCGATGCCCGCATCCTCCATATTTTTTCCTATTCCATCAATTAAAAACACATTAAATTCTCGAAAACGCAACTCAACTTTATTCGTTCAAAATATAATTTCTTTTTTAACAAACTCGATGAAACGCGATTCTTCCTATCTTTGTCAGTCTTCCTGTCCTGGAATAACTCTCATTCAGGTGTTAAATGTATTGCCGTAATCTCTTTTTGCGGGCCATAATTCTAAAAACGGGTTTCCCATGCCGGGAATCGAACCCAGGCCATGGCGGTGAAAACGCCAGATCCTAGCCACTAGACCACATGGGAACTTGCTATGCCTTACGTAACAATGTCGTTTTATTTCGAAATTACCCGTTTCTTCTGATGATTTTGGTACGACACAGCAAGCGCGAAAAAAACCAACAACATGATGGGTGTTATTGATTAGGACAATGCATCCGAGAGGAATTGCATGCGCTAGCGGGGAATCGAACCCCGGTCTCCCGCGTGGCAGGCGAGAATTCTACCACTGAACCACCAGCGCAACGCGATATATTGTAGTCAATTTCAACAACAAGCTTACTCCGGATCCGCTGTATGAAACGCATTTTGAATCGACGTATTTTGTTTTACAGGAGTTTATTATGCGATGCATGTTCAAGAAAATGTTGACATTACAGCTATAAATTAAATGCCATGCTACACGAATCAAACTTAAAAAAATTCAATTTTTAATTTGGTAAAGAGTGATCTATCTTTTAAGAATTGTTGTAAGAGATGTAAAGAAAGGCAGCAATAGGGGGATTAGCTCAAATGGTAGAGCGCGTGCTTAGCATGCGCGAGATAGCGGGAGCGACACCCGTATCCCCCAAAATTTTACGCTTTGGATCTCAAATCATTCTTCAGCAAACCGTTGCTTTGCGTTAAAAGTTTTTCGTAATATTTTTAAAAATGACATTTATACTTTTAATAATATTATTAAAATTCTAATTAATAGAATTAACTATTATACGACAAATATTGATTGATCAATAAAGAGGCTGACCGTTATCAGCCTTCGTTAGCTCGATCGGTAGAGCGGGGGACTGTAGATAAGTAAATAAACATCCGGTTCGAAGGACAGTTGCATGGAAAAGATTTTGAAAAATATTTTACTTCTCTATGTCAAATTGATATACTGGCAATGGAGTAGAAATTTATTAAATATATGTATGCATATTTATCATAACCGGACATTTTGAAATTGCCCAGTATGCTCCGTTGTGTGTGCAGCTAGGGAACTAGGTGGATGATCGAAAACGCTTGAAGAATATGAATACTCGTTTTGAGCTGTATGCCGAAATAGCTCAGTTGGGAGAGCGTCAGGTTGAAGATCTGAAGGTCCCTGGCTCAATCCCGGGTTCCGGCAGGAAATAATTTGAAATATTTTGCCGGTTAGCTTGGTATGTCTGCAAAATATTGAAAATAATGCTTTCATTTTGCGGTTTTCGCAAATAGTTTGTTTGGGTAATCAAATGTAAAAAACCCAAATTAGATAATATGTATTCTTGTTCATTTGAATCACTGAACAAAGCCAAATTATGCCATGCAAATATCAGGAGTAAGTTAGAAATTTCGTTTTTTTTCGCTTTTTATCGTAATTAAAGTTTCATTTTCGTTACCATGCCACAGGCTCATGTATGTACCGGCGAATGTCGAGCCTTTTTTAGCATCGGAAGTATTGATGTTTTTCCAGTATCAGCGGTATCGAGTAGCAAGTACTTATATATTACTTTATATTGACTAAGCTCTATCGTCTCGTAACATGCCATATGTTATCGCTGAGAACTTATAAAATGCTATTTCTCCGATTCTTTTGCACATCCTACCCCCAAAATTACTCAGAATTATAACAGAATGATAATATGTAAAATTCAGACATTCTAAAGACAACAGAGAGCAAAAAAGCGAGAAATTACGGAATTTCTAAAGTATATGGTTGGGCTATGGTTGACTAATTTGAGATAACAAAGCAACCTATTATTTTGACTCATGTTTTGACTTATAATACACAAGCAGCTTAATATCACTATATGCTGGTTTGAATATACCATTTAGATCGTCTTTCAAGCTCTATCGTTTTAGCGGTATTCCGGGGTTTTTAGCCCAAGTACTTGCCGAGATATTTAGTTTTCCTTCTTCCCAACAGTGTTAATTGTCTCGATTAATTATCCTCGGACAATAGTGAGTAACGATAAATGCATTCACTAAAACCAGTGCGGGTTGCGTTTTCTGGGAATCCCCGTGCAGGGGTCAGTGAGAATTCTTATCAAAGCATCAGGAAAGGTTTTTACGATGAGAAATCCGATCACCGAACGCACTTGCTAATCTTTGATTGCTTCTAGTATTAGTTTATATTGACCCATCTCTATCGTCTCCTAAAAAATCAACGCAAAATCTCGCAAAAATAAACGCCTGTCCTGGGAAGGTACGGAACAAATCACAATTCTTACTCTGTAACATTAGTAAATCTTTTAAATAGTTAACCCTTTCTTGAATTTCGACAAACCTGAAAACCGATTTAAACAAAAATTTAAACAAGCACAGATTCAAACAAACACACGCAAAAAGGCAAAAGCCTTCAAAAGAATAAAAGTTAAGAGACTATATAATTAAAAAATGAGACGTTACAATGCTATTACGCTTACTTAATTCACATAGATATTTATGCAACTTCAAATCAAATAGTTTCATTCCTTGTTCGCTGTTTGCACAATTCTGAACTAATTACCTTCACTGCATGCAATATTTTAAAACTAGATTCAATAATTAGGAAAGTGTTGACAAGCAGTTCGCATGCATGCTAAAAAATTACCTAGCTGGGATGTCTTTTAAACGAAAGCCTTCAAAATTAGAGTAAGAATGGGACAGTAACAATCTCTCTCTGCTGATTTTTAACTCGACTTCAATTTCTTCAGGGTCATCTGAGCGACGGTGCACCTTCAAAACGCGTTTAAGTTTCGACTTCAAGCTAATTTTAAAGGCAGCGTTTTGTTCGTCATTGTTCATTGTCCAAACAAGGTTGAAAATAACGGGTAAGGTAGTGGCTGCGATGGATCCAGTTACTTGTACACTATCCTGAACTCCTGACTTTTCTGACAATGACATCAAAACAAATAAATAGTATGCGAATGCTATAACAATGAACACTCCAGTGAAATAGCGGAACAAAACTCTATCGTAAGGCAGAAATTTCTCTCTAACCTCATGGTACAACTGCCGTGGAATCATTGGCTCACCATCATCGTCAAACTTGATAACAAACGTGGCGTGCCTGTCGTTGATCGAGAAACTTTGCATATCAGTAGGAGCCGACGGTGGACTTTCATTGCAAACTTCGTAGATTGCTGTATTTAGTAACAAGTATTTCGCTTCGACAGAAACCTTCCAATTGGTATAAGAGTAGGAAAAGATGGTGAAAAGTGGAGCTAAAAACGGACCGTACGTTTCCCCGTTAAGAAAGAGACCTACTACAAAATAAAGAATGAAACGAAAGAGACTATAGGAGCAAAGACCGATTAAAGCTACCCCCACAATGTTTGATTGATAAAACAAAGAAGGCAGCTGAAGCAAGCAATTGCAACAACAACTACGATTACATTTTGGCAACCTATCAATTGAATAGCAAAGACCGGTTATCAAAGTTATTAGAAGCAAAACTAACACACACAATGCCGGGAAAATTCCCAAAGAAAGAGCGACCAAAATAACAAAAAAAATACGAGACACCAATCCCTTTGCTCTATCGCAACTGGATTCCGATTGTTTGGTTAGCATCGGAGTACGCTCAGTTTCACGTCCTTCGTGATTAATGCAAGAAAAATACAGCATAAAAATTTCAGAGAACTTTTGCGACCACCATTTCAGGTTAAATGGAAGAGAAAAAAGTTCAATCATGCTCTGACAATTAAATTTATTGTAGACTGACTGTATATAAGTGCCTCTTGTACGTCTTGTGGAAAAGTTGTGCCCGTCAGAAAGCAAAAAAAACAATGCCCATGGATATACCAGGATGCTAAGGGCAATAGTAGACGCAGAGGTAATAGTTTGCACTGGTAAAATGGTAACAATCACAAAAGACGCAATCAATAGTTTCCGTACACACGACTTTATTCGACCTTCCCCTTCGAGAAAAAGCATGACCGCTATGAATGATATATCCATGAGACTATCTGTTATCATATAATATTTACCTTCTACACGAAACCGATTTGTATAATCTATCATCAAAGGGAGAACAAAATAGAAAAAACAGAGCACCATGACAACAAAAATTATTTTAAAAGAGTGGATCATGATTGACGAATAGTGTAAGCATAATGGGACCGCTTTAGTTCCAAATTTCCCCGATTTTATTGTTTGCATCGAACAACAAACAAATGTTATGTTGTCATAGCGACATAATTGATAGCCGACCATGTTGTCATCACTGATGTGATAAAGGTGTTCTAGAATTCGATCAAAAATTGGATTTTCCGATGTTCTGTTCCTGGCTGAGCTCATACATCTCTGGCTTTCTATGTTCACATAAATGTCTACATTCACAACGCCAGAGTTCATCGTGATGGTAGATATTGATGAAATCAATGATGGAATATGATGAATGTAGGTATGTATTAACCAATACAAAGTGCGACCAGCTTCGTTTGCCCACTGAAAATCTATCAGTAAAGTCTGATTATCATTCGTGGTATCGTTGTCTGCCAGTTCAGACCAGACATGCAGTGTAATCACATGCGTTTTGCTATCACGCATCAA